ATATATATATATATATATATATATATATATATATATACATACATACATACATACATATACATACTAGGTGGAATGCACGAGGTCAAATATTATAATTTTTGAGTTTTAGTTTATGCATTTACGATAACGTAATTGCAAAAAAAGGTTATGATTATCATAATATATTAAAAAGTTTCAGATATTTCAATATATAAAATCTTGTTGGCTTCAACACTTCACCATCCACATAATTAGTGAAGTTTAAAGTCATAAAATATTAATGATCTAAGAGCAATTTAATTATTTGGAATTCTAATTTTAAAATATTAATGATGTAAGCATCAATATCTAAAAAACTATTATTAATAATAAAAAATAAATTTTGAATTCATCAACGTAAAATGGTACATTTTATCTGGTCGTAGAGGATTTTGTTTAATTATAAAGAAATCACTCGTACCTATTGTCTACTTCCACTTTCTATATTCTGACAACCGAGTATTATAGATATTCAAAAACTTTTTTCTAGTATTTTTAAAGTTAGAATATGCAAATTCAATCAAGAAAGAAAATATAAATTATGTGATCAATTTCAAAATCTGATATTATAATCTTTCTACTTCTTCTCAACTAATTAATTAATTTATCAAAACGATTACTCTCTAATTTCAGAAAACTATAAAATATAATCTGAGAATGATTTAAACATATTTTGTACACATATGGATTGTATTTTACTAAAGTAATTTAGATCTATCTAATATTGAATAATAACAAAAAATTTAGGTTAAAGAGTTAAAAGAATCTAATAACACTCATATCCAAACTATATCCTTCATAAATGTGAGACATATAAAATGAACAACTTAATTTATTTTGTTAAATAATTTATTACAAATCATAAAAGATAAGGAGAACCATAATGATCACATAGTCATCCCAAATAAAGATTAAATTTCTCTCTGCGAATTTTGTAGCAAAAGATTTTTAGAGATACTGATAGACTTACTATAAAATCCACTCTTATAAGATTAACATCACATATGTCTTATATTGTGCTTTGTTTAAGTGTTAATTTTAGAAAACTTCCCCTCAACTATGGGAAAAATGGTACAAACTCCACCCCTCTCAACTACTTGAAATGAGTAAATCTTTATTCGTCAAATTTGGGGTATTGTAATTAATCTATCTCAAATTCAAAATTTTGATTTAACCCTATAAACTTTTCTCAATTAACTCCTCAAAACTAATATTGTTGAGTCAAATTCATTATGTGATAAGTACTTGACTTGGAAAGAGTAAAATATCCCTCAACCATAAAAGAATTAGCTTGGTTTTTGCTAAATGAAAGAATAAGTGAAGATTTAGAGGTAAAGTGAACTGTAAATTGGTTGTAATCCTTTTATTATCGGTTGAGAGTTTCTTTTTAACTAAAATGACTTTCTTTAGCTTGGAAAGAGTAAAATCACATATTAGAGTCTTTTACATTAGGGGGGGTTGTTAAGAGATGTGTAAAAGATCAAGAGAGTTTTTATAAGACACACTAAGTCGAATGATGTTTTCTAAAAGCGCATCAAAGTTGAAAGGGGTTATCAACAACACCTTTATAGTTAGGGGGCTCTGTCAAATTAAATTAGTTGTGTGATTTTTTAAGACATTTCCTATAGTTAAGAGAGTTTTTAAAAAAGTAACTATTCTTTTAAATTTAGTTTACTTACATATTTG